TTACTAGAAAGTTAAGAAATGTATTAGCCTTCTCTTTTCCTTCACATGCTATACCCAACTCATCAACAATGCTGGTGAGTCTACTTTCAACACTCACGTCCAGTCTTATCTCTCCTCAAACTCCACTGCTACACCTGGGCTGGAAGCCAGCCTTGACCAGGTCTCCCACGTGGACTTTCCTACTAGCCTAAGACGTCTTCCTGCTTCCGCATTCATAATCAGGATAACATCAGAGTCATCTCTACTCCTCTCTTCAAAGCCTCATGACCAAGCTCACTCCTAAGAGCCAATGTCCTTACAGTGGCTGATGAGGCCCAGCCTGAGCCAGCCTCTGTAGTTCTCTGACGTCATCTCTCTACAATTTTTCTCACTGGGCTACTCTTGCCTCAAAGGCCTTACAGCTCCTTCTGGATGGAGTATGACAAACAAGTCAGGATCTTTGTCATTGCCATTCTGTTTCTTCGGACATTCTTGCCCAGCATTGACAGGCCAGGCTTCCCTCTTCCTTCAGGCATCTATTCACACACACCTTCCATGTGAGGCCAGTGGGGCAGTTTACACAAACCAGAACACATCAGATGACACCCTATTGCATTCCCTTCGTCCTCTACTGCTCTTTATTTTTCTCCAAAGCCTGAGAAGCCTCTTTGCTTCTCAGTCCTCTCACTAGATGAAGACTCTGGGAGCCTCTAGTCCCAGCTCCCTTAGCATATTGCTATTTCCTTAATCATTCTTTGGCTTGCTTTCCAGGGTGCACGGGCTTGGCACCCCTATTATCTCACTGCTGGGGGATGGAAAGGGGTGGAAAGGTACAACACTCGGTCCAGGAAGATAACAGGGCTTCTAGGCTAAGCAGACAGAACTGCACACCTCCCCGTGAGCAAGCCACTAAAAGAGAGAACTTGCTGTGTGTGGGTACAGTTGGGACACCAACATTATGAAAGTATATTAACTGCTCCCACTGAAAAGGGGAACTATTTCTAAAAGAGAGAACTTTTGGGATGGTCACATATGTGTACAGTGTGTATTCTGGGGATCCAAACTCTGGTACTCACTCCCCAGCCCATGGAAGATATCTTAAATTCATTTTTGTATTGCTTCAACCAATGGAAAATACAAAATTAAATTTATCATACAGTTATTGAAACTATGAAGTAATCCCAAAAGCAACTTATTTTCTGAAGGGAATAATTTCTAATGTAGACACCCTTGGATGATAGATGCACTCATGGTAGGTAGAGAAAAAACTGATATTCTGTAACACAAAAGCAAGATTAGCTAACCTAAGAAAATAACATTAAAATACTATTGGAGAAAAAAAAAAAGAAACTACAAAACAGCATTTTGTTCTATTAAGCAAAAAATTATTATAATTTTGGATTGTTTTGGACTGAGTTCCTACACTAAAAAACCAACAGACCAGACCAAAACAAAATAGAGTTGTCATAGTTAAAACACAGGAAAGGCTTTATTTCAGCTTACAACTCTCAACTCATAGTCCATCACTAAGGGAAGTCAGGGCAGGAACTCAAACAGAGCAGGAACTTGGAGAGAGAAACTGAAGCAGAGGCCATGGAGGAATGCTGCTCTCTGGCTGCTTCTCATGGCTTTCTCAGGCTGCTTTCTTACAGCACTCAGGACCACCACTCACAGGAGGCTCTGTCCATAGTGAACTGTGCCTACACACATCAATCATCAATGAGGAAAATGCACCACAGGGGCTGGAGAGATGGCTCCGCAGTTAAGAGCATACATTGTTGTTGCAGAGTTTGATTCCCAGCACCCAAATCAGACAGCTCACAAATAAGTAGTGTAACTCCAGTGTCAGGAAATGACTTTGACCTCCTCGGGTATGTACTCGTGTACACACACACACACACAAAGAAATTATTATTATTATTAATTTTTTTAAGAGAAAGACAATATACCAAAGGCTTGAGTACAGGTCAATCCTATGGGGAGACATTTTTCTCTAGAAGGATTCTTTCTTCCCAGATGACTTCAAGTTCTATCAAGTTGACATTAAAAACTAGCCAGCCTAAGAGTCATTCATGCTAAAATTAAATTAAAATTTTAAGGAAGTGGATAAATCCCCAAACACACCAGTCTTTTCCTGAACAGATTTCTAGTAAGTGAGTATCCTAAAGAAGTCTCTTCTGCTTTAACATAAATGTGGCCACGAGCCATCTGGTATTAACCACTGTGTTCCTCCTGTGTTCTTGTTGATACCCATAAAACCCAGGGTTCTCAGTGGGTGTGCTCATCCTATTGTGTAGAATGGAGAGCATCGCACTCATTGATCACAGGTCAAAAATCAGTAAGGCTGTAATTAAGCCTTTCCTAATTTTGTTTTCTTTGGTTTATTGGGGGGGGGGGTAATGTGAACACCTGTGTTTGCAGGTGCATTGGTGGCCAGAGAAGTACATTGGGTACCTTCCTCTATCACTTTCCATGTTTGTTTAAGATAGTCTTTTATTGAATCAGAAGTTCACTGGAGCTTGGGGGACCCTCCTATCTTGGAGGCCATGCTCAGCTTTTACATGGGTGCTTGGGGATTTGAACTCAGGTCCATTTGCATTCACAACAAGTATGCCTACTCACTGAACCATCTTCTCAATTCCTTAATTGTTGCTTTTTGATGAATCTTTTTTTTTTTTTTTTTTTTGGTTTTGGTTTTTCGAGAGACAGGCTTTCTCTGCAGCTTTGGAGGCTGTCCTGGAACTAGCTCTTGTAGATCAGGCTGGTCTCGAACTCACAGAGATCCACCTGCCTCTGCCTTCCAAGTGCTGGGATTAAAGGCATCACACCACCCAGCACAAGCTAGATTTTTGCAGAAGTGATCATGGCAGTCAGCAGGTTGTTAAGGGAAATAATAGATTGTTTCAATATTTCTCTAGGTCATTCTGTTTCAGAGAGCAAGTAAAGTCGCGCTTGGCAAATAGACAGTAAAGCAGTGCTTTAAGTAAGTCACTAGATAAATCAGTAGCTAATAATTGGTCTTTTCTATCTTATTCTACTTCAAGTGCTGTTTGGAATTCTCTGCCACATGCCTGCTCTTCCTATAAGTCCAGAATCAGTGAGTCGATTCCATCACTACACACCTCTTATTGCTGGCATATTCTTCACGCCACAGTTACATCATAATTCTCCCTTTTAGAACTATACACATTAAGTCTACCACTCTTTTACTTGATCTCCACATATTCTATGTTCTGTCTCAGTTGTTTTGAAGCTTCATCTTAAATTTCATGATTTATATTTACTACCCACCATCATTCTAGTCACACAACCCTTACAGTCATTCCAGTTTGCCAAGTGACCTTCTTAAAAAGAAAAATAAAAATCAATACACAGGACTTAATACAAGTGCAGAACATAGCAAAGTACTTTTTCCTTTTCTTTTGGACACTATCCTCCAGTGCTTAGCCCTGCCCTTGCTTTTTGAGCATCTATTACACATATTGATCATGAACGTATTCAGTCATCAATTTTGTTATCTCTTCCTTGTGGGCTCCTGTGAGGGAATTATCTGGATGGGAGCGAGCACAGCTGGATTTTGTTCCTTCAGTAACAAATAGTTAGAGTGCTATGTCACACAGGACAATCACAGCTCCACACCAAACTATGTTCCACTTTTACTTCGCTCAGAACGTTTGTGTCCACTCAGATTCTTCTGTTGAAATCCTACTCCCAGCAAAGTGATTGGACTAAAAAGTGGGACTTTGGGGACCTAACAGGTCGTTAGGGCAGGGTCTGTACAAATAGGCTTAATTCCTTACCAAGGAGATCCCTGGCCATTTCCCTTGAGAGATTACAAACTAAAGAGCACTGAGCTGGGCATTGGTGGCACACGCCTTTAATCCCAGCACTCGGGAGGCAGAGGCAGATGGATGTCTGTGAGTTCAAGATCAGTCTGGTCTACAAGACCTAGTTCCAGGACAGCCTCCAAAGCCTTAGAGAAACCCTGTCTCGGAAAAAAAAAAAAAAAAAAAAAAAAAAAAAAAAAAAAGAAAAGAAAAGAGCACTGTGTGGATGATGCTCACCAGACAAGAAATCTGCTTAGCCCTTCTTCTTGGACTTCCCAGTTTCCTGAAAGGTTATAAATGAGTTTCTTTTTGTTTCATAAGTTTATGGCCATTTGTTAACAGACCTGTAGACTAAGGCAATGTTATTCAAAAACTAACTGAAGAATTTATTGCATCAAAACTCATAAAAGACCAAACAGAAATCTACACAAAGCAGTTTCCAACCATTATCCAACTACATACCTAAGAAGTCTAAATCTTGCACGACAGCCTCCTGGGGCTTACTTATACTCAGAAGGGATAACTCAACATCTGGACTCTTCCCACAATAGCTTTCTCTCCAGCTCACAGAATCATCTGGTAATTGGCAAAGTGAGATGCCTGGAGTCCCCTTCTTGCATCTGCGATCTTTATCTGAGAGTAATAAATCGCAACTTAACAGTCACCTGGGCGAATGCGCTCATTTTAACCTGGGGAGCTCCTTCCAGAAATTCAAGCGTCAGATCTGAGTTTCCCAATAGGGCTTCAGGGCTGGAGTCACCACGCCAGCTCATTGCTTCCTCACATCTGGGCATCGCCAGTCTCTTTTCTGATCTTTCACCCTCAGCACCCCAAATCCCTTTGAAACCAAAGCATGAGTCACTTCTGTCAGATGTCAAAAACATTCACAGCAAGTGCACTGGGTCGCTCTGATGTCCACACTACGCAAAAACTTCAGCATCTGACGACTGCTTAAATCTCTCTACAGTTGCACAAAGGGCGTAGCAAAGGCAAAACAAATCAATGCTTGGAAAGCATCCTCCTTATTTGTCGCTTTGGGGACAGAGGGTTCCTGAGTTAGAACTGGGATGCCAGAGACACTGGGTCACCTCACACAACCCCTAGACCAAGCCGGGAGGCACAGGCAGGCCGGGATGCTGGCAGGTGCCGGCTCCCAGAGAAGGGACACGCCCGCAGACGGCCGGGACCCCTTACCTCTCTTGTCCATCAGCCACATGAAAGCGAAGCAGGGCAGGAAGCCGATGGGCCCCCACAGTACCAGGAGCGCGATGTCCCAACCG